AATGGTAGTAAAATCATCCGATTCTGATCACTGGATCACAAGATATCACGTGTGCATCATAATTGGTACTGCATCATAATACCCCCTTTTATCTTATATTACTAACTTTAGTAATAGGTATTATACTAGTGCATTGTTAGTCAAAGTTTCAGATCTTTTTGTAGCAACAAGCTGGAAGTGAAAAACAATTATTAGTAGTACACTCACAAGTAAAAATAAATATACTGGAAAGCCTTTGGCACTTATGCTACAGATAATATTAACTTTGGTAACACTATATAAGGCAAGTAGTATACTGTGGAATAACAATTAGAAGATTAATAAATCTGTTTATACTTAATATAGAAGATTGTGGCTTGAGATATGGATTGTGTTATAGTAGCACCCCAAAATTTGGTTTGAGATATGAACACAATAGTGGCAACACAACATGTAATATTAGTAAAAATATGTACACCAATTTGAAAGTAACAAGAGCAAAAGTCCGTTGAAATGGACTAAACTAGAAGATAACAGAAAGTTGCAAATAGAAGAACAAAATACTAATAACAATATGGAAAAACTATATATAGAGAAAAAGGTAGGTTGTATACTAGCTAGAAGTTAATTAATAAGGTAATAGCTATTAATTAAATTTTAAAATAGCAAAGGTATGATTAAATTGCTTAGGATGGGTGTTATTAAATATTCTAGTGTAGCACAACTCAATTACTGTAATAAATAATATGTAATAAATCTCTGTTCTTAATTAATAAAGATTACAGTATATAAGCAATTTACAAAAAAAAATAAAAAAATAAAAAAAAATAAACAAGTAATATCAAAGTATATAAATATAGTAATATACTTAGAATTTTTGATTAAGTACTAGTAAAACTGCCTAAGGTTAAAAAAAAATTTTTTATATAATTACTATATATTTTATATATACTAATAATAACTATTTTATTTTTATAACTAGCATTATAATTTTTTATTATTTATTATTAAAAGCTTTTTTTTTAAAAAAAAACTAATAATAATTTAGTAAAATTAGTAAGAATTTAAAGATATACTGTATGTTATATCAAATAGCTTTATGCTACATAGACATTATAAAAAATAATTAAATTTAGTTTTATTTAATATTTATGTAATATTGTCTAAACAAGCTTTGCATATCGGCGGATTTTCGGAATTGGGGTTTACATGAACTGTAAAGTGAACCCGTATGTATATATAAATAATTTGAGTAATTAACAATAGCGCTACAAATTAATTTTAATTTTGTATTATTATTGTTATTTACTCAAATTATTTTTATATACAGCACATACATACGTAATAAAAAATTTACATTTTCGATCCCGAGAACAGTCCATCGGGTAAAAAAAAAATTTACATTTTTACAAACCCATGAAAATCCAATTCCGAAAATCCACCGATATGGTACTTTTCTACTAACATAATACGTAATAATAATAAATTAACAAAAAAAAAAAACAAACCAAAATTTAAATTAAAAAAATTAATTCGGACTGGTACCCAATTCGGGTCACGTTGAACAGAAGTTGGTTCAAAACAAACTCAGTTCGGTCATATTGAACCAAAAGTTGGTTTCAAAAGACCCAAATCGGATCATACTGAACCAGAGGTTGGTTCAAAGAACTAATATAAACAATAAATTAAAATTTTAAAATTTTAAATTCAGGGGCAACGCCCGGGTTTAAGGGCTAGTTTATTATATTTGTTAATAATATAGCCTGTTAAAAATTCAGAATTTATTGCAAATAATAAAATCTGCCAATTATCATTAATACTGTTTGACAAAAATTTAGAATAATATAAAAGATTAACAATATTATTTTATTAATTTTATAGATTATAGTAAAAATTACATCAACTGGACTTGGTAAAATTTTGGATTCGGGAAAATACTTGTGATTCGGGTTTTGGCAAAAACCGATCAAAAGCTGCCGTGTCACTTGGTTCCAAAACGGTTTAGTGTACACCATTAATAATAATAATGCTTTGCAAAAAATGTGATCCCATGATTTTTTGTGATGATGATCAAGGACAATTCCAAGAATCTAGATTTTCTATTAATCATATCCTCGATCAATTATATTTATAGTATATTTATTCGAATCGTAAAATTCTCAAATTCTACAGAATTTCCGATCCTCATATGACATTGTGGTCTGCAGAAACCACAAACGCAATAAGAATTATATTTAAATTCGACATTATTTAAGAATATTATTTAAATAATGAGAATTATAATTATAATCTACTATAATCGAGTTAATTCTAATTCCTTATCATCTATAACTTATATACACGTATTAACAAAGTTCATATATATTAAAGCATACTATAAATTATCCTAGCAATTATCAATAGAAAGTTATTCAAAAGTAAATGAAAGAATTTAATTCGGATTAAGTGAGTTGTTCTTGGATGCTAACATTGGAAAAACTCATTATAAGGAAGTTTGAAAAGCTTGGTTCGTTTTAAACAGTGTTAATAGTTACAGCATCATAGCTTATTACTTTTTGCCGTATCCGTAACAGTAAATTGTAACTCGGGGACGCATCACTACTTGGAATATGTTATGGTCGGTGAAATCTAATCACGCGTACGAGAAACTAAATTATCGTTTTAAAGCAATTGGCAATTTAAAATAAAGTTTTGTATAAATGGAATGATAGGCACGTACGTAAGTACGTGCATGGGAAATTTTACTGTCGAACTGACTAACCATTTTTTAAGGGTTGTACTCCTCGCATATGTGTGCAATTTAAACATAAAATTTATGACTTTCAAGAATGGAAAGTTCGGAATAAACACAAATTTGACCATCAAATCAGAATTAAAAATGATAGGTTTTAGCTACAAACAAGCATCAAACTTTATCCGTCATTGTAATGTACGTGCGTATTTACATTAATATTATCAGTAAATAAATATATTGATATTAGGTCATCCAGAACCAACATTAACGATAATGATATTCCGAATAAAACGATGATAACCAACGATAAAAACTAAATAAGTATATACATTATAATTCAAGAATAGCACAAGGTATAAATAAATAAAATCGCAAGTTTACGTTAAATAAAGTCAGTAAAAGTTGGTAATTTATTTTGAGCTGTTTTTTTTTGAAAATGTATTGATTCTTGGAGGCCCAGTATTCGGAATAGTCTTTTCTTTTCTGGTTTTTTTTTTTAATGAATTCACTCTTTAAAAATATTAATCGTCAATGAAGGTATGTATTTCCTCGCACTTTTGTATAAAAATAATATTCATTCATGTATGCACAAAGTGCAAATGGTTGAAATTGATGTATGCTGTAAGCAAATAAGAAAACCAAATTTTATTTTCCTCATATAAGAAAAAGTGCAATGCACATTTGTTTACTGCTAAACGTGTTGACTTGACCTGGTGGAATATGTAGATGTTTCTCCAAAGGGAACTATCACTAATCTATGTTATACCAAATATTTTTCCTTCATCAGTCACCATATCGTCAATTTGGCCTATATCAGATATACAATAGACTGGGAAAAAACCAATAAATATTTTAGTTATAATGCCACTAGCTAAATGTAAATCCCGAAAAAAATCCATTCCGACGATTATCGACGTTGTTCGTCCTTCCTTACCTACCATCACAAATAATATATTGCCTAATCATATTTTAGGTAAGAATTAAATATAAAAATATTTATTTAACGTAATTACATTAATTTAGTACTTTAATATTAGTTTTAGGCGCAACAGGAAATCTAGGAACTCAAGTTGTATGTCAGGCGCTAGAAGCGTCTTATTATGTGACAATTCTAGTTCGAAATGAGAAAAGGCTCCAGTTTAAGCGACACCATTTAAGGAATCCAAATTTAGTAGTCTTAGTCGGTTCCGTGCTCTCTCGCGATGATTTAAATCGTGCAATTCGGGATCAAGATGCCGTCATAAACTGTCTTGGTTCTCGAATGATGCTGGCTAGTGATATTAAAATATGCTCTAAGTCTCAAAGAGTCATCAATCAAAGCATGATGGAGAATAAAGTTCGTAGATTGATTGTCGTTGGTTGTGCTGAAAATCAAAAAGTTTCTAGATTTCAAAAGTTTTTTAGCTGGTTTACTACTAAAGGGAAAGTATTGGCTGACAAAAAGACTCAAGAGTCAATCGTTAAACAAGATACGGAATTTATTGATTGGACAATAGTTAGGCCTGGAAAATTATATGACGGTGAGTTGACTAACTATAGAATAAACGAACCTTTTACTATGATGAAAATTTCGAGAGCTAGCGTTGCCAATTTTATTATAAGGGAATTGCGTACTAGTCTTTGGTTAAACAAAACCCCAACTATTAGTGGATTTGAAAAAAAAATTTCATAAAGGTGGATAAATTTATATAGCATCTTTAGATTTTACGATTCGCTTTATAAGACTGGGTAATTTAAGTTGTAAATTTATGAATTTTTTTTCTATCCCTTAACGATTCCAATGTCTCAGCGTTAGTATTTGATATCTATATATCTTATACCACTATGTAACATTATTGTATTAATGACAGATATAATGATATTAATATTTGTAATAAATATCGATTTTATTTCTTTATAGATGATTATTTTCCAAATAAAGTTATTTTTTAAAAAGGTTCTCTCAAAAAATAGCATCCATTTTTGTTTATCATTTAGACGACTTTATACAATTAATAAAAATTTTTACAATACTTGTTAAATGGTGTGTCAGTTTCAGTGCATCTTATTTTCAGGCCTGCCGAATAATCATTGTGGGGCGGTTTCTATCCGAGTTAGGGTGTCCATGATTATGATGCGAAGTCAGCCAAATTATGCATGCGACAAATCATAAATTATGTGAATTTTGAGTTATTAGCCAATAAAAATCAAAAAAGCACGACAAGTCAGGTGATTACAGTCACATGTACTAACCGGTTTATTAATGCTGCATGAAAGTGAACGGATTATGCGGTCTCATATAGAAAAAATCGCAAAACTGTGCGCATATTATGTCGCATCATAATCCTGGACACACTAATCCGAGTATCCTAGCTAGTGTCCAGGATTATGCTGCGACATATTATGCGCATAGGGATGGCGAAAAAACGTTTTTTAATATTTTTAATGTTTTTTTTTTTTTTTTTTATTTTTTTTATTTTTAAACCGATGTCACGGTGCTAACGCTTTATTGTGTTTTTCAATGTCTTATTACAAATATTGTAT